TCACACATCTCGCTGAACAGCACCAAAGCTGCCTGCCATTGCCCGCATTTCTCGCACGCGCTGATCCCAGCGCTGTAGCTGATGACGCTGGGGTCCGTCCTCGAATTCCGCAGATTTCCGAGCAACGCCAAAGCGCAACGCCACTGCCTGCCTCTCTCGCACGCGCTGATCCCAACTGTGAAACTGATAAAGCAGGGCTGACATGTGGTCCGTTCCGGAAACCCTGAATTCAAAAACGTTGCCATCTCTTGGGGGCGCATTATTTACTTTCGCCAGCTTCTGCCAGCCTTCCGCTGACTTCCGCCGCCGGAGGCGGCCCCAACTTCATTCCGCGGGCTTCCGCTGCCCTTCCGTCGTCTTCCGCCGAGGAAGAGATGACAACTCCTTCGATCCTCGAAATCGAGGCCCTATCTGGAACGCCCCAGATGAACGTCGTCCACGACAGCAACGTCCACGCGAGCTCCACAGGTGCTGCCTCTCGCCGCTACTTGCTGATGAAGGCTGACTGTTGTTGGTTGCTGCTGCTGGTGTTTCGCGCTGCCTCTGCTGTTTACTGCTGAGCAATGCTGCTACGTGCTGCTGCAAATTGCTGCTGCTCGCTGGTACTACTTGCCAATAACTACAGCAACTATACTACTACTACTACTACTACTACTACTACTACTACTACTACTACTACTACGACGACTACTACTACTACTACAACTACTACTACTACTACTACTACTACTACTACTACTACTACTACTACTACTACTTCTACTACTACTACTACTACTACTACTACTACTACTACTACTACGACTACTACTACTACTACTACTACTACTACTACTACTACTACTACTACTACTACTACTACTACTACTACTACTACTACTACCACGACTACTACTACTGCTCTACTACTACTATACTACTACTACTACTACTACTACTACTACGACTACTACTACTACTACTACTACTACTACTACTACTACTACTACTACTACTACTACTACTACTACTACTACTAGTACTACTACCACGCACCACAACTACTACTACTACTACTACTAATTTTATTTTTTACTCTACTACTACTACACTACTACTACTACACTACTACTACACTAGAACGACAACTGACTGATACTACCACCACCAACCACACTACTTACCACTCCTACCACCAGTACTACTACTACTACTACTACTACTACTACTACTACTACTACTATACTACTACGACTAACTAGACTAATTACTCTACTACTACTACTACTACTACTACTACTACTACTATAATACTAACTACTACTACACGACTACTACTACTGACGACTACGAGAACTATTACTACGACTACGACTACTTCTACTATTACTACTACTACTACTACTACTACTACTACTACTACTACTACCACCACTACCACTACTACCACTAATACTACTACTGCTACTGCTGCTGCAACTGGTACTACCACCACTACGACTACGACTACGACTGCTACGACTACTACTGCTACTACTGCTACGACGACGACGACTACTACTACTGCTACTACTGCTACGACGACGACTACTACTACTACTACTACTACTACACTACTACTACTACTACTACTACTACTACTACTACTACTACTACTACTACTACTAGTACTACTACTACTACTACCTACTACGACTACTACTACTACTACTACTACATACTACTACTACTAGAAGTTTCTACTACGATGACTACTACTACTACTAACTACTACGCACGACGACGACTACTACTACTACTACTGGGACTCCTAACT